GGGGCTGCCACTCCCCCGTGCGCTGCTCTCTGTGCAGGACGATGACAGCCTGGGTGGGGAGAGGAGCAGAGCCCAGCACCAAGCGGTTTCCTCCTCTTTTCCAGAGGAAGAGCTGGAAGCGACGGTACTTTGTTCTGGATGAATTTTCCATCAGTTACTACAAGTGTGAGCAGGTGAGCAGTCCCCACCAGGACCCCGAGCAGAGGTCTGGCACTGTTGCTCTGCCGACACAGGTGCCTCTGTGGGAGTTACATGCCAGCCCAGGGGCCCAGCTGAGCCCATCACTGTCTCCCCTTGCCTCTGCAGGACAAGGAGCCCTTGCGTTCGATTCTCCTGAAGGACATTTGCAAGACCCACGAGTGCCTGGTCAAGTCTGGGTAATGCTCCTGTCCGTGTTTCCGTGCCGTGGCCCCGGGTTGTGTGGGATGGAGGAGCCAGTGGGAGCTCTGGCTGACAGTGGGAAGCAGTTCTTGAGGTGTTCGCCTTAAACTAGCCTAAGTGGCTGCAGAGCCTTAGGAACCAGTTATTGCAGCAAACTGATGAAATCAAACTTGAAGACTTGCAATGAAAAATAACCTAAGAAATCAAACCTCTTCAGATGAAGTAAAGACATAATGTGTTAATATATCTTTGAGTTGTTTATTCCTGATAAGCAAGAGCAAGCTGACATTTAAAACGAGCTGGGAGTGCGGTGGGTTGCTGCAGGGAAGTGTGTGGGGAGTGTGTAGCTGAAGATCTCTGGGGAGCTGGAGTCTTCTCAAAGCCTGATGAGATCCAAGGTTTGCCTTCACTATGTTTCTCCCCAGCATACCCCAGAGATGAGGATAAACACAGGGCTTTTTCCATCCACGATGGCTGCTGGGGTGTGACTGTCTCTTTCCCACTGTTTCTAGTGACCTCCTGATGCGGGACAACCTCTTTGAAATCATAACGAGCTCCAGGACCTTCTACATCCAGGTGAGCAGCCAAGGCTGGGATAATTTTCGGAGCAGTTTCTTGACAAACAGGCTATTCCCCACAGATCCTCACCAGCAAACGTGAGCAGATGGAGCTGTAACACATGGGTGCAAGGGAGAACTGTAGTGGGGTTTGTTTCTGCCTTGGGATTATTTATAATAGGGGCTGTTTGTGAGAGAAGGAAGAGGCTGAGCCGAGCCCTGGGAATGCCAGGACAACCCGTGGCTCTGTGTGTCCACGTGTCGCTGGAGCAGGAGCAGCCCCAGCTGCACCGCGGGCTGCAGGAGACAGAGCCTCACTGGGACTGGTGTGTTTGCAGGCAGACAGCCCCGAGGACATGCACAGCTGGATCCGGGTGATCACGGGGGCAGTGCAGGCCCTGAAAACCCGCCCCAGGGTAGGTCATGTCCTTTCTGCTTCATATTTGGTGTCAAATGGAGATTATGCCAGTGTACAAGTTACTTCTGTAGTGGATGGTGTAAGCGTTTAGTTAGCCTGATTCCAGGAGGAGATTCCTGCCCTTCTTGGGTTTGTTTGGCACTCACTGGAAAAGTTTCCTTGAAAAAGGTGGAAAAGTGAGATTCAGCCATCAGAGTGGACTGGCATGAGGCCTGCCCCGCTCCGAAGAATGAGCAGGAGCTGGATGGATGGCAAAGGCCACGGCATTCAGCCTTTCTCTTTGCTTTGGGCTCTTTTCCTTCCCGTAGAGTATGTAATGAGCAGGGCCCAGACCCCAGAGCTCTGCGCATCGCTCGCAGCGTTGCATACCCCAACCTGCCAGCCTCACTCTGCTCTGTCCTCACAGGAGATGTCCTTCATGAGATCCACCTCCATGGGCAGGCCCGGGGGCTCCTCGGCCTCGTCCCTGCGGCCGGCGGCGGAGGAGCGGAGAGCCCTGTGCAAGGCTCCCTCCACCTCCTCCTGGCAGCCCTGGACGCCAGTGCCGCAGGTGCCACAGGCAGAGGGGAAGCTGCCGACATTGGGGGAGCTGCCAGCACCGCTCAGAGACTCGGTGTTCGTGCCAGCCCTGACGGAGCGCGGCAGCAGAGCTATGCCAGGCACACGCCTGCGGCACAGGTCGGAGCCACAACATCTCAAGGAGAAGCCCTTTGCCTTCAACCTGGACGATGAAAGCATCCGAACCTCTGACGTCTGACCGGGCACCGAGCCACCCCCAGCTCCACGCGCTGCCTGCCCGGCTGCCAGGGGTCCCTGCGGGGCACTTTGGGATGTGCAGTGTGGTTCCTTCACCTCTGCCCTTCCCTGTGACGCAGGATCCGGATGGACCCACATCCCAGTGTCCTGCTCTGCCAGGAGTGGGGTCCCTGTCTGCTCCTGCCTGGGCTTGGCCCCAGGGGCTTCGTGTTTTGGAAGGTTCCTACGGGCACTGCCAGTGCTCACTGTGTGGGGCAGGAGGTGCTGGGGACCTCGATGACGGAACATCCTCTTCTACAACCGCATAATTTCCCCCCAGAGACAGGCCTGGAGGAAGCAGCAGGAGGTCTCAGAGGTGTGAAGGGGAGTGTGGCCTTTCTTGTGTTTGGAAAAACGTTTCTGTCCCCTTTGATGCTGCCCAGGCTCCCTGGGAGCAGGGCAGAGCCAGGAGATGCCAGCCTGCAGCTGCCCTCACAGGGGACTCGCTGCGGCTTCCCTTTCCAATGAGTTATTCCCTCAGAGACCAGCTCTTGCCACTGCCCACCCAGGGCTGTATCTGCAAGCTGTTGGCTTTTAATTACATTCTTTTATACGTGGCTCCCGTTGAACCCCAGCCCAGGCAGGTGCTCAGCCCCTCCAAAGGCTTTTTGGTACTCCTGAGCACGTGCCGGGGCAGGCAGCCGGAGTGGTGGTTGTTCCCAGGTGGGAGCATCCTCAGGTACGGTGTCGGTTTTGCACTGCACACACTTGGGCACAGGGAGCCGAGCCAGGTGGTGAAGGGCTTTGAGCAAAAAGCACTGGAAACCAAGCACCTGATAGAGCTGGGCAGACTTGGAAACCAGCAGAAGTTTTTAGAGCAATGTGAATCGTCATTTCCATAACCAAATGAGCTCCTGTAGGTGTGATAAATAGTGTGTAGGAAATCCAGGTGTTCCCTCACAGCAAGATCGTGTGATACCTTCACCCCGAAAGTGTGTGCAATCCCTGGGTGTTGAGCGAGGATGCAGCTTCCCTTTTGCTTCCCTGGCCACTACATGTCCTCTGCTCCACAAACTCAGCCCAGTGTGCTCCCCAGGAGCAGAACATCTGGCTTGTCCCTGCCCTTTTGGAGCCTCCAGCTGTTTGACAGCTGTGCTTCAGCCTCAGCCTGGGGTCGAGTGGATCTTTATCCGTTGAGCTCTGAGCCTTGATTAGCCCAACTGACCTAAACATGACTAAAATTGGATGTTCCTACCTTAATCCCTTCTGGGGCCAGTGGGGCTGCTCAGGGTGGGCACAGCAGAGGTGCCTTGGTGAAGCTGTGAGGGAGGCAGTGATGGGCCCCCAAGTTCAGAGGCAAGGGGGTCTCAGGGTTATGTGGAGGTGCTGGAGAACACCAAGATGATGAAAACAAGAAATTGATGCAAACGGTACAGGGCGAGTGTTACTATTTGTTATTTAATTGTAGAAATGCAGATCCTGCTGTTCCTTTTTCTGCTCCTTTTGGCTTTATTTGCACTAGTGTTTGAAATCTTTCATTGTTTTAGGCTGACTTTGCTGTTTGGCTCCTAACACAGTGTTCCAGGAATGTTTCAGTGATTCGGTAAGCCCATGCATCAGAGTCACAGCGCCGGAACAGTGCTCTGAACTCAGTTCTGGAGAACAGGGAATGCAGAGGGATGATGGTTCCTTCATGCAAGGCCTCAGAACCATGGAGTCCTGTGTGTTCCTGGTGCTTGATAATTGCACAGTTTCCTCAGGCCTGGGATGGTAAAACAGAAGCTTGTTGCACAATTAGGGTTAATTATCCAGGAGGAGAAACTACCAGTGGCTCCAGCTTTATTGCAACATTCCTGTTGCTCATTCCCACCCTCCTGCATCCCCAGGAGCGTACAGGCTGAAGGTGACGCTCAAACAAGTGTGGAGCCAAGCTGGGCTCCAGACCCGTCCATAATGCAGGTGTTGTGGGGGGCAGAATTTCCCTCCCATTCCTGGGGCAGATACAGCCAGACCTCGATGGAGCTTTGTGGTGATTTTCAAAGCAAACTGCTGTCCCCTCAGCTGTGTTTGCCTCCTGACCCCCGGAGCTGCTCCCTCCCGAAGTGTGTGCTGTGGGGCTTTCCTGGGGGTGCTGCAGATTCGGGTCCCTTGTGCGGGCAGAGTGCTGCAAGAGGGGCATTTTCTTTGTTCCATGGGTCCCAGGTGGTTCCAGACAGTCCTGGGAGTGTTGGCTGGGGATTTCAAGTGCTCTTAGGGCCGGGGGCCTCGCATGGGCGATGCTCCATGACTCCAGGGCGGGGGGTACCCACCTTCCACCCCTCACCTGTGAATGCTGGAATGCCCTTCCTTCCCTGTGTTTTTAAATAAAGAAGGAAATCCCAGTCGCTTTCCCAGGCTGTCCATTTGCACTGTGGATTTTGGGTAAGGACTGCTGGGGGGATTGAATGCTGTCCCTACCGGGGGCAGGGGCAGCCTCTGGGGGGAGCCCCGGAAGCACTGAACACTGGTGGGTGCTCCCCCCACAAGCAAGGCACTGCTGCTCCCCACACAGGTGGGCTCTGGGTTGTGGGGGACAGAGATGTCAGCTGTTTCTGCCTTTCTGAAGGCACAGGCAGGAGGGAAGCTGCCAGACCGAAGCCCCTGGTACTCCTCAGTGTAGCCCAGGAGAGCCTGGTGCAGCAAGGAACTCGAGGTCCTGCTGGGAGCTGGCAGCAGGGGCGGGAGGAGCTGTTACTGACAATGAGCTTTTGCACATGGGATTGGTTTTTTTTCTTTCTGGCTCACCACAGAATTTTTCCCCTCCATGGGCTTTCCACCCCTGATGTTCTGCTGAGGAATGTGGCAGTTTCAGCCACATTCCCTCCAGCCCAGTCAAAGCTGCCAAACTCAGATCACTGGTGACTGCAGCCCCCCTTCCCCAGAGAGGAGGAATTGGTGCAATGAACCACAAACCAAAACTGGAACAGACCAAACAGCCCTGGGGCAGCTCTCCTGGAGGCAGAAGTACCACAGGCAGAAACTGGCCAAAGGCAAAGGGCTGGAGGGGCCTTGGCTTGAAGAGCTGTGCGAGGCCAGGAGTGTATTTGCTGTTTTACCTCACATGGGACTGGACTTTTGCATACAGGGATTTTGTGTCCGGCCCTGGCTGAGACCTGCTGCCACTTCCCTTTCCCGTTTTTATTCAGCTCGGTAAGTTTTCAGCCTGCAGCTGGTGGGGCTTCCTCTTTCGAGTGTGAGGCTACTTGCAGCTCCCACTCCTCTGGGTGCTGCATCTGCCCCCAGGGGCTGGAGCTGGAGAGGTGCATAGCACGTGGGTGGGAGCTGTCCCCTGGCACCTCCAGCCCCTTCCCAGCTCTCCAGCGGCTCCTGGATGTTCCACAGCTCTGTACAGACCTGAGCCCTGTCACTGCTGACAACTGCTGCTTTGGAGAGGTTTGTGTCTTCCCCACCTGCAAGAGTGGGGAAAGTAACATTCTCCTGAGGGTGCAGGTTCTACCAAACCTAACCCAGACTCCCCTGAGGGAGTGACCAGGGGGTTAAACAGATAATGTGGGAGTAGAGCTCATGGCTTTGCCTGGAGGGACACTCCAGAGTCCCTGTAACAGGGGTTACTCAGCCCTTAAGGTTCAAGCCTCGGATCCTGGGTCCCCTGGCCAGGTGGCCCATGACCCTGAGATGTCCAGGGCCCAGGAGTAACATCCCAGCTGGGGGACTCAGGGCTGTACCACGTCCTTGTGGCTGTGACTCTACTCACCCCCAAAGTACATGCAGCCAGCTCCTTCCAGATTTTATTAAGGTTTGTTTGCCCCCTATTGTCTGCAAGGTCTCATTTCTTAAGCTGTCACCATCTGGGGGAAATCCAGATGGTTTGCAACAAGCGAAATATATACCGAACAACTTCGTATCCAAGGTTTGTGCAGAGGCAGGGAGAGGAGTAACTGTTCCGCATGGTGAGTTTCAGCTCTGTCAGTCC